AGTCGGACGGGAAGTATTTGGACCAAATGGTATATATATTGATGATAATGGTTAAAAGGATTACATGAGCAGAGAGGTAGAAGTGTAATCGCAACTGTTTTGGTCACATGCCATGGACATGACGTGTATTCTGTGAAAGTAAAGTTTCGCACGTGTTGTCCAAATATTGCAAGTGTATATCTCAAGGCACGGTGCTTTGAACTCACGGGAAGCACCCGTGAAGATCGGCATTGATTCCAGGTTGGTATACAACTATAGGCTACATATATTTGTGTTTTTCTACTTGTCGTGATCATACTAACCGGTGGCTTAGTAGTTGCAGTTGGAACGAATGCATGAAGCTGGTTTGATTGGTTATTTGTTGGGTATTGGCAGCGCTATCTTTTAGCGATTGGAGGTTCGATTCAACGCTTATTGTACATTTCTGGTTGGTCTGTTTGTGACATGTTCGCTATTTTACCATGTTGGATTTTTTGTTATTTTGTCATACTCCTTCATTTCAGTACGTAGTTCACTCGTGTATTTGTCTCTTTTCTTATCTTCACCAACCTGATTTTGTGATCCTTTTTCATTCGTGACGTTTTGTGGAGGAACCACACCCAAGGTGCAAAGTACTATAACCAATGTGCCAATTACCACACCCACGGTGCCAAGTACTTCAGGGAAGATGGCGCGTTCGCGTTCATCGTCGGTGAGACAGAGGCACAGACACTCCTCTTCATCATCGTAATCGGCATCGCAAGGAAGAAAGTGAATCAAACAAGGGATATCCAGAACACCACGAGACCGTAGACGCAAATTAAGATCAACATCAGTTAGGAAAAAAATAGTTGAATCGGAATCACCCAAAATATTTGGTCAAAGGCAGTGGGAACTGAGGCGAAACGATTTTTCACCGCGTGGTAACAGAGCATGGTTCACAACCGACCTCAAGGAGGAGATATGAACTGCTCAGTATACACGAGTAGATACACTGCCCTCAATTGCTAATGATCAGTACTGGTCATGGAATACTGCCCTCGATAGTCTATAATAGGTTATACTGATCATTTGTGGATTTATGGACGGCTCAGTATACACGAGTAGATACACTCCTAGATGCGAATCATTGTGTATATGTACTCGCTTCACCATGGTGTAGTCACTTTTACATAGGGAAGATGGGGCGGCGAGTGGATAATAGGTGGTGTGAGCATGTTAACCTGGCTCGGAAGATTGGGAAGGGTGTGCAACACAAGTTATACAGCTGGCTATGGAAATTTGGTTGGCATAAGTACGCACTCATACCAATATGGACGGCGGTGAAGTCCGAAGTAACCAAGATAGAAGAGGCTCTCGTTAACAGACTAAATCCATACATGAGCATACATGGGAAAGAAAAGGAAGCAACGAAAGAATATAAATCAAAGAAGAGAAGAGAAATCCGGGAGAAGTACAATTAATCAAAATATGTCGGTAATGTTTAAATCTACGAGATTCACTCACACAATGAAGTTGATCCAGATTCTACAACCGAAAGCAACAATACAAAGTATTGAAGGCAAGTTATGATATGAGAAATGGAAGGTGATCAAACCAACATTCGAGTTTATCATAATTGACGTAGAGGAAGTACAGTATAAGCTCAAGGAATGCAGAAATTTACTGGAAGGTGGCTATACATTCTGCGTTATCAAGTTAATATACACAGGACCATCATCGAATAAACATAGGAACACATTGATTAACTGTCTAAAAGCCCCATGAAGAAGGAAATAATTATCTAAGTTATCATTGGATGATCTACTTGTCCTACTGACAAAAGTCGGTTTCATCATGGGCAAGAGACGTGGAACTTTAAAGGGTGTATTTGCCAGGATATCAAAAAAAAAGTTTGCATTCTATATCAAACGAAGATTGACATTCAAAATTTCATATGTCACGCAAATCAACATAAAGCAAATTCGCAACGCAACATCCGATGCTATAATTGGAAGCATAAAGAATTTCAACCTGACAAAAGATTTGGTATCACGCATGCAGGTAATGTTAAAAAAAAATAAAAACCAATCGATGAAATCTTGCATAATCACAGACAGGTAATGGAGACACTGCCCGTATGTGAATGCCTAATGAGTCAGCTTCCAAAGATAAAATCACATGTTGCTTGTCGATTAAGTCACATTGAAGAAAACGAACTCGTGTAGAATGCAAAGAACGTACCTTATATGAATGCAAGAACAGGAAAACAGATAGTGCATAGAGCCATAGTACAGACTACATCCTTGCATACCACCAAAAATAAGATTTATGCAAGGAACACATGAGGATTTATCCGATTGTATGATCTCGAACATCAATGATAAACAGCACCTGGATATCTCTGTAGTGTGGCAGGTGAAGAACAAATTGAAGGGATATATATATTATCACGGCTAGATAAAAATCCCGATGAAACATATACTGAATGCGCAAGGCCCAAGGGCGTGGTTTGAAAAAAGCAAATCCGTCTTCTTAGAGTTTGTACACTACGAAGTCATCCAACAAACAACATGTGAGATTCTCCAACAAGTAGAGCAAATATATCATGCATTTGGGAAAGTGGTTAAGTGGGATGATAATAGATTATATGGAAATGCGTACGTAATACCAAAAAACAAAGATGTATCCAGAACACACCCAATTGTACCAACATACAGTGAACCCACATGACACGCATTAAAATTTTTGTCAAGAGCCTTATATTTGCTATGCAGTACGTGGCAATTAGGATTTGCCCTGCAGGGTACAAATCAACTGGTTCCAAAACTAAAAGAATGCAACAAAACGACAACACAGACATATGAGCAAGATGTCACTGTGCCATGAGCGACATATGACATAAAGGATATATTCTTTAACTTAAAACATACACATGTGTTGAACGTCATACAATAGATACTAAGTATAGCGAAAGACAAAAGGAAAACTCATCTATGCTATAAAATTAAAAAAAAACATATAAATTTTAAAAAAGCACATGACACATACATGAATGGAAAACAACGAAAATTGACCTCCTATATTTTCATATTCAACATGCATACTTCAAAGTACAAGATACATTGTTACGACAATGCCCATGGGAAAAGGATTTAGTCCGCCGATCGCAAACTTTGCACAGATGACGAATACAAATGGCGTTTTGAAATCGGTATGGACCAAAACTCGTACACGGTATTAGATTTGTTGATGATGTAATATCATAGTAGTTGTTAATCGAAAAACCATTGAAACTGAAACCGCATGCTTTAATTCATTCACAAAGTGTTATCACTCATCACTAAAAGTAGAATCACGCAAAATATGCAAAGTACAAAATGGAATTATTTAGAAACAAGAATCACGAAGATGGATCATGGACCCCTCCTGAAATATACGCATAAACTTAAGAATGAAGCTACACTCCGGGAGCAATTGGCAAGTTCTCTCTTTATTCAGTCTACCCGTCATTTAAAAAGTGTCGACTACATGAACACGAAAGTGTTGACGATCATCGACACTTTCCACAGAATGGTACCAAACACATATGACATGAACTTGTTCGCCCTATTGAACTTATATTGCACAAAGCTTAAATTGTTGGAATACTCATGGATGACAACACGTTCGACCATTTTGGCCTTTATCAGGAATTGTACAAACAACACAAAACGAAATATCTTCTTAGATTTCTGAAAAAGAAAGACATAATGAATTGCTAAAATAAGAAATAAAACACAAAAACAATATTGAAATGTCCACAGAAAGAACAAACAGTAAGTTCCCCTTTCCATCAAACAAAATACAACAGATATACAACCGAGTACCCATACATGAAACACAAATATGGTGACCTGAGGCTCTCTCGAAAATATTGAAGGAATTGTACGAAAACATATCGAAATATAAAACCTTGTCGGATTTCGAATGGGAAGCCCAAGCAAAAATTTCTAGAGTTTCAAATATAAAGTCGTACGAAAATAAATACCAAACAGTAAAAAAAAAAAATCAAAACAAGACTCTCCAAAAAATGTACTGACCAAGGAAAGTACAATCAATCTCCGATCTCAAGATTTAAACCGATACAACACTGAAATTTCTAGAGTTTCGAAGATAAAGTCATACGAAAATAAATACCAAACAGTCGAATTTTTTTTTCAAAACAAGACTCTTCAAAAAATGTACTGACCAAGGAAAGTACAATCAATCTCCGATCTCAAGATTTCAACCGATACAACACTCGAAGATTCGCAAAAGCACTACAAGCAAGGACAACAAAAAGTCCAAATTCCAAAATCCAAATAAAATAAATTAAATTAAAATTCACAAACGAGGACAGATGCTTGAAAGCTCTACCAGAATATGTCATTGCGTATGAAGATGCAAAGTTTTTTGAGAAACGAATTTTTTGACATATCGCGACCAGAAGAGCATCGGGATAACCAATATCAGCAGCAAGGACGAAGATACTTCAGGTGACGTAATGACGCAAAGTTTTTTGAAGAAGGAATGATTTCGATATATCACGACTAGAAGAACATTTGAACGGTGGTCATTCAGCAACGCGACGATGACTCGATGATGACAGGAGACTACAGGGACCAGGGTTCAACCAGAAGGGGAAGTATTTGGACCAAAGGGTATATATACTGATCATAATAGCTGAAAGGATTACCTGAGCAAAGAGGTAGAAGGGTAATTGCGACTGTTTTGGTTGCATGATGGACAAGACGTGTATTCTGTGAAAGTAAACCCTCGCGCACAGTCCAAATATTGCAAGTCTCTCTCTCTCTCTCTCTCTCTCTCTCTCTCTCTCTCTACACACACACACACACACAATCTATTCTCTCTCTCTCTCTCTCTCTCTCTCTCTCTCTCTC